TAACCTTAAGCCTTTTAGCTAACCGTTCCCCTAACCCCAACCCTAACCTTAACCCTTTAACCTATCTCCTAAACTTAACCCTAACCTTAACCCCTAACCCTAACCCCTAGCCTAGCTAATGTTAGCCAGCTTGCTAATGTTAGCCACCTAGCTAGAATTCGTAACATATCGTATGTTTAGCAAATTCGTAACATATAATACGAATTGTAATTCATAACATATCATACGAAATGGGTGATGGGCATCCACAAATTAATACATACCATACGAAATGTAACATATAATACTAAATGGAGTGTTTCGGATTTACATACAGAAATGCTCTGAGCTCAGGTTGCTCCTTCTTATACTGTACTCTACTCTACACAGGCTTCATTGATATGAAGGGCTGGGCGGCCTGCCTTGTTATCTTTTCCATTACTGCCCATTCGACAGTGTTGCGGCTCCTCTGGAGCCATTAGGACCAGAAAGATGAATGAATTATTACCTACTCAGGCTACAATTGAGTTTTGTCTGAGAAGTGCATCAAGAAAGAACAAGCTTATAGTTTGTAGTGCACGTATGAAGGATTTTTTGAGGAGAGATATTCAACACTTTTATCATACTACTTACACTACCTTGCTTTCTATATTTTGACCATGCTCTTTTTTTCAGTCTGTTTTTGAGTAATCTGTTTTTGGTTATCTGAGTTTTTAAGTGCATTGATAGGTCCTCAGTCAAAAATATTCCAGTGTTTGTAGATAATATCTGATGATTAGATCTTTATGGCTACAGTAAAAACAACACATTTCGCTGCATCTATCCGAAGTGTGACAATAAATCATATTTTTTATATATCCCGCTCAAACAAACATTACGAAACAGCAAAAACGTTGGCACGACAACAGGGCATCTCAGTAGCTTGTTTACCTATTACTCTGTCTGATAATAGCAATAGACGAATTTCCAAGCGCACAGTTTGTCCAACCCCCATTGAACAACCATTATAAGGATAAGTAGCAGCCAGCCATTGTGTCATGTCATGTATAATATATTTACTTCAATGACAGCCCTTCTGGGGTGCAATGTACTCACACTCTATCACCTATGACCCATTAATGCCCATGTCGTTTTACTGCCGTAATTGAGGTGGAATAACTTGCTCCAAGGTTCAGAGTCCTATGAGCTAGTTGAATCCACAGACCTGAGAACCAGATTTGTAGTGCAATTACCAACCATCCTCTCTTCTGCTACTGCTTTGGCTGCTCAGCAGTGAGCTACTGCCTGAGGAATCAAAATAATTTCATCATCCTCCTATTTCACTGACTCACTCTGAGGGGCAGGCATATGATATAAAGTCTCCTTTGGCAGATTCATCCCAATAAATCCCAAAAGTGGTTTTGTATTGTATCTTACAGTATGCTTGTCTCCTCATTCTCAGAAGCTGGAGAAGAGAGAGAGAGGGAAAGAGAGAGAGGGAGAGAGAGGGGGGAAAAAGAGAGAGAGAGGGAGAGGGGGAAAAAAGAGAGAGAGAGAGGGAGAGAGAGAGAGAGCGGAGGGAGAGGTTAGATAAGGGAGGATAGAGAGAGAGGGGAAGAGGAAAGAGAGATGACGAGAGAGAAGATCATCGAAGCACGATCGAGAGAGAGACTGGAGAGAGAGAGAGAGTAATGGAGTGGAGCAACAGTTTCCCTTCACTACAGGGGCCTCCTCCAGTCGATAAACATCACATATAAAAACAATAGGAGAGCACATTAATATTCAGAGATGCCTCAAGGAGCAGAAATAGAAATATGTGGAGGAAGATCAATATAGGAAGCTACCTCAGTGTACCTATATTGCTCAGCAAAGTGGGTTACCGATTGGTTGCTGATACTTTTAGACAAGTTGTTGCAACGATGCCTTGAACCTAAGCTTGAAGCACTGTACCTAGCATTACACTCATTTTGAATGCAATTATAATTGCTTTGTAGGCGTAATGTAACGCAAGTAGATAGCAAGATTATAATGCATGCCCATGAGATTTAAACTTTGTATGAAAAACTGATGTAGAGAAAGAATTGTAAGCCTTGATTACATCTGCTCTACCTTTGGGTTCAAACTAATGTCACTGCCTCAAACTAACCTCCTTATTCTACCAAATTACAATAAAGATGCTCCACCATATCATAACAAATGTTGTTCATCCTAAATTGTTATCTAACCCAAAGTCCTCAGTTTGTTCCACACAGCATGGCCTCGGTTTTTAAAAACCTCATAAAACAAGCCGTCTTTGATCAAAGAGGACAGATAGAGCTGACTGAGAGAATGTGGCAAATTGCTCCATTCGGCCACGGTGGATTCCTCCATGTTAGTGTTTTAGTGCCACGTTGTCATTCCTGCTGTCACCCAGAGCAGCTGAGACCAGCCAGGGGGACACCCTCCAACGACCCCCTCAGACGGGACACCACACATGGACACAATTTGCGTTTATTAGCAAAATGTCAAAATGCATTTAATTTAACTGTCACACAAAGTGTGGCGTTTTTAACACTAATATGTTTAGACTTTTGTAATGTCTTACAACAACACAGCAGTGCTTTATGTTACGAGGAAAGAGATGAACGATAGTGAAAAAGCTATGGGCTGATCACATGCTGGACACACCTTATTAAATGCACCATACCCTTAGTCCCAGAGTGTGACCTGTGTGCCTCACACCCTAAATCAGATGACAGTAGAGATTAGGTGTCCATCAGATACGATTGGCTATCATCACCAGAGTCACACTGCAAGCCAACTCTGTTTCATATCTATGTTGTTCATATGCGGGAAAACATTTTCCAAAGTAGGGACATTTCGCAATGACGGATTTGTTCCTTTTTCATTTCCCGTGTGTGTCAGAGCCGTGATGCTTCACTGGGACATGCAGTGTTCTGTTGTACTGTGACATGCCGGAGGGAACCAACCATCTGTCACACAGCACCTCAATAAACAGAAAGGTGTCATCGAACATCCTGTTGACTTCCTCCAATGTCACTTTCTTTGATATCAGCTCTCTGTTCTGTGATGGATGGCTCCATTTTGTTATATCTAACACATCAAACAGGGCAGAAATGGAATACAAGGCCTTGTCTTTTAAGCCATTCACAATTACTGTATACAGAAATCGTAGTATCTCACAATATTGATGTTTTCCTGAGTGTATGATGTGCTAAGATGTACACAGCCTTCATGGATATTAGATGTCTAACTACACCGAGTTAATAAACGATGCCGGGTCAGGGATGCCCTTGTGGTGGTTTTCTGTTTGAATGAGCATGGCACCAGAGGAGGTCACCCAGAATAATAATGCCACAACCCTACAGAGACAAATGCTCAGTAACGTCAAGTGGAAAACCTCAGACATACGAAAGGACAGATGGGATCTGGGATGTACAGAAGGAGCAGAATTTCTCGCAAGGCTGCCTCATTATTACGCGATTCAGATTAAGTTATGTAATGCTGAGGAAATGTTCAGGCCAGCTTTCTCACTTTTTGGTTCAAGTGATAAAGGTACCGCCACTCACTGCTTATGGGATTATCTGTTCAACCACACAGGGGCGATAGAGAGTCAATGTGACACCCAATGTTTTCCTCCTTGACAGGATAACACTGGCGTTAACAATTTATTTTTCACATATCAGTAATGGAATGAGCCACAGCCTTGCGAGACACAAACCAAATTAAACATTTAAAAAATGTCTTCCAGTGGAAAGAAATTGGCAAAAGCAATTATGCACAAAACATAGATTAAAGGCACTGCCAATGATCCATTAAATTGACAACTGTTTAAGCCAAATATGGTTTCTCACTAATGATATGTCTCTTATAATTACATGTTGTTTACCAAAACCAGGTTTACGTGACATGACACCTCTTATTCACCCCAGCTAGGAGGTCAGCTCTGATTGGTGGTGTTGATGTGAACAGCTAGACAGAGAAACACCTGGTGAAAACACTGAGAGGGTGAAACTGTACCAAGCAGGGAGACTCTGGCTGCCTGTGTATTCTGGGCGTATTATAGGGTGGCAGGTAGCCTAGTGGTTAGCGTACTGGGTCACTAACCGAAAGGTTGCTGGTTCAAATATCTGAACCGACAAGGTAACAAATCTGTTAATGTACCCTTGAGCTCATTTGCTCTAGGGGCACTGTACTACTGTAAAAACATTCATTTCACTGCATCTATCCGGTGTATGTGACAATAAATTGCATTTTTGATATGTCCCGCTCAAACAAAGAAGACGAAACAGCAAACACTTTGGCAAGACAACACGGCATCTCAGTAGCTTGTTTACCTTCAGGTCTATCACTGAGAAATGGAGGACACTGGGTCACTACGCCTTTGGTCCTATTATTTTGGGTGACACATAATTACGCAATTAGCCCGAGGGGGTGTGGTATATGGCCAATATACCATGGCTAAGGGCTGTTCTTACGCTCAACGCAACGCGGAGTGCCTGGATACTGCCCTTAGCCGTGGTATATTGGCCATATACCACAAACCCCCGAGGTGCCTTATTGCTATTATAAACTGGTTACCAACGTAATTATACCAGTAAAAATAAATGTTTTGTCATACCCATGGTATATGGTCTGATATACCACGGCTGTCAGCCAATCAGCATTCAGGGCTCGAACCACCCAGTTTATAATAACTGGAAAAAATAGTACTACCCAGTCATTTCATTTACTGCACACCCATGATATTGTGGCCCTATTTCTTACATAGAAAAACACACATTCTTAAGTAAAAAAGTGTAAGGTTAAGACGGTGATGTAATTTTGTTCAAAAGTAGAAGACTTGAGAGTATACAGCAAAATGTGTTGTTTAGTTAAGAGAGCAATGCGTCTGTGTCTGGCTGAGAGCACCATGATCTTGTTGTCCCTGGTCAAAGGGTTCCTCTCTCTGCAGGCAGAGAGGTAGAGAGAGATAGGGCTGGTTAAAGTTTAACCCCACAGGCTCATAAAGCAGCTGCGGGACGGTGAACCTTTGGAGTTTGATATGATGTAATTACCGAATCACCCCAGTGACACGTTTCAAAATCACTAGAATGAAGGACTGAGTCTTCCGGGTGATCTCTGAAATTGCTCAGGTAAGCTTAGCTCACTAACTCTTCCATGTTATGTCTCTGCTGCTTTCGAATCTTGTAAGAAATCTCCCATTGGGAGATCTGCTCTCTTCCAGCATGCTGAGTGTCATTGAACTCATTGGGGATGTTTTTCATGTGACTGGTCAAACGTTGTGTTAGGTGACTTGTATGGGACTGAGGACACGGTCAAGGTAAGAAAAGAGAAGGAGGGGGACATGGTTAGATGGTTTCATGTAGATGGTTGGTTGTCATTTTCTTTTAATTGTGTTGATGTTGTAGGCGTCACATGTGTGACATGTCTGACGGGGAAGAGCCTTGTTTGAAATAGTCATATTAGTTCACTAGTTTATAATTTTGTAGCCAGTCTGTCATTTGTATGTGCCAATTGTTGATTATATTATAGTAAAAGTGTAGTATTCACAGTAGAGTGCTTACAGTTTCATATAAGGCAAACTGATTAACAGTAGCTCTTTTTGGTATGTATGCCAGATGCCAATGAACATATGGAACCAGTTATAGCTCCATTTGAACTTTGAATTCCTGTGAGAAAAGTACACTCTTAGAAAAAAAAGGTTCTATCTAAAAGGGTTCTTTGGCTGTCCACATAGGATAATCTTTTGAAGAACCCTTTTTGGTTTCAGGTAGAATCCTTTTTGGTTCCATGTAGAACCCTTTCCACAGAGGGTTCTACATGGAACCCAAAAGGGTTCTACCTGAAACAAAAAAGGGTTCTACCTGGAACCAAAAATGGTTCTCCTATTGGGACAGCCGAAGAATCCTTTTGGAACCTTTTTTTCTACGAGTGTAGTAAAAAAAGCAAGTAAACTGAAGAGACTATTCAAATTGTGAAATTAAACATGAATTCACATACGTTGTGCCTGTCCTATAAGTCCAAACTATTTGATATGATTTCCATTTTAAATATTTTTGGACTTGTTTTTCCAGCAGCAAACACGGCCAACACAGTGGCATTTCAGCCAAGTGTGTATTTAGCCTCAGTCAACGAAACTCCAAAAAGCAGGTACTGATCACCGCCAGATAAGCCTCCTTCTAGTTATCTTGTTTATGCAAATGGTAACCAGGCTATCATGAAGAGAGCCCCAGACACAGACACAGAGAGAGAGAGAGAGAGAGAGAGAGAGAGAGAGAGAGAGAGAGAGAGAGAGAGAGAGAGAGAGAGAGAGAGAGAGAAGAGAGAAGAAAGAGAGGAGAGAGAGAGAGAGAGAGAGAGAGAGAGAGAGAGAGAGAGAGAGAGTAATGGAGTCCTGTGGTAGTAGTATGTCCACTCAAGGCCCAGAGGCTCAGAATGACATCTTCTGTCCAAGCCATCCAGAACAGAAATAGAACCTAAAGACCGTTTCCTCCCCAGGTGTTTGCTTAGGCTCAAAGTGGCAACGTAACCCAATACCTAATATTTGACAGTTGAGATTCATTTAGGGTTTTTCTTGGTCAGGGAATAGTGCTGTTGCCATGGTTGGCTGCCTACGCCAATGTTCTGCTAGTGAATGATGCCGAAATAACTAATCTCTCTAGACACAGTCCTGGAGTGTATCATAATGGCAGCTAATATTGAATTCACAGATGAAAATACGCGACTTGGGTCCCAGTATTGTTACTGATGATATTGTGAAATCTGAAATGAGTATGAAACCATGTCACCTCTGTGAATGATGGTGCTCGACCTGAGAGCAGGTCAACTCCAGTATTTCTTATTTTGCCTGGCGTCTTGACATTTTCAACAAAGCCTTCAGGAGAACCGTTGAAGAGAGTGGTGAGGAGTGAACAGTGAATATAAAGCCATCTTGTGTGTTTTGGGAGAATTCCTTTTTGTAAAGGAGAGATTAGTTTGACTATATTTGGAAACACTTCAGGATGAAGAAGAAGGTGTGTGTGTGCATGACATCATTTCCGTCATGATTGGCACTTGAAAACGTTTGAAGGTGGTTTGGGTGGCCGTCACCCCCCACGTACCCTGTGACCCCCTCTCTCTCGACCCTCTTTCCCCATCCCTCTGATCTGGAGGAGTGGAGCTAGCAGTCGTCACTAGCAGGACCTCTCTCTTTGATCCATATCTATGGAAGGAAAAACAAAGGCAGGCCTCTCAATCAGGATGGAAATTCTTGCAACACTCAGAGTGGCCTGTTTAACGTATCTTCCTACTGATTTAATCAACCTCTCACCAACTAAAGGGATTATCTTGAAGTGGACAATAGTTCGCTAGCGTTGGGCCGTCTTGCTGTGTCTTGTGATTGGCCATTGAAAATCAAAGGTTTGATTAAGGGGGCCCTTATTCAAAGCTGTTGCTTAAGTACTTCATGTGTGTCAGTATACAGTATGTCACAGGATATGAGTGTGAGAGTGTGGGGGAGATGTGTATGGTGGTGGTGGGTGCAATAGATTGAGACAAAGGGGCCTCAGTGGTTGTCTGCTGTTTGGGCTGAGTTGTGTTAATAATTACATAGCTGTCCTTGACCTGGACCTGAATGAAATACGCTTCTCTCTACGTCATCATAAGATTGTGCATAACAACTGAGTACCTGTTGGTGGCGCCATTCAAGCAAAACCATACCTGATCATTCTGTAAAGGTCATGGAGTGTTTTTGAGACCACGTGTCTCAAAAGGAATTTACAATACATGGAACAATTGACTTACTATATGTGTGATATATTTATGCGTGATACAGTACTGAAGTTCTGAACCAGTTTAAGAGTTTATGCCTAATAAGTTAAAATAGTAGAAAAAGAAGGCTACAGTGTGATTTGATGACGTATTGAGCTCCAGTTATGTTTTTTTTAGCGATGTTCTCAATGATTTGTTCTGAACTGTGATTTCATTTCAGTGAGCACCCCTAATTTCGCTGATTTATTGCTGACAATCACTCTCAATGGAATCCAATCAAAAATCTGGGGATGGACTGACGGGCATGCAGAAAGAGGTCTCGCTGCGTGCGCTCATTCAGCGCACAGGATACCAATTACTGCAGGTAAGAACCATATACCAAGCATTTAGGGCTTTCGCCTAATCTATGACCAAATCTATGAGTGTTGGAAGCTATCATAAGGCCCCCACACAAGTCATCCTTCCTTATGGAGTTTATGCGTAATGTGGAGAAGTGGGGCTCTGATAAAATCCAAGGCCTCTCCATCAGTTTCAAACCTATTCACGTGTGCGTGAGCTCTTTCCCTTGGCCTTGGTTATAATTATTGATAATGGGGCACCACCCTGTGGTGAAAGACCCAAATGACAGGATCCCTCTGTCTTACTGCTGCAGTCTGGTCCATGGCAAGTTCATTTGGTTGGGGCTTCTACAGCTCATACTGCATTGTTATGGGGATTGTCTGGGTCATTTGTGCACAACTACAACGTCATACCAAATGAAGATATCTGGGAGATTTCTATATGAATGCTAAAATCTCTCAATCGGAATGAAACCTGCGCTACAAAGGGCATTGAGGTGGATCTCCTTACAAACCCTGTACTATTGGTTACTCACCATCAGTCCGTTGTGTCTACAGGAGAATGGTCAGAGGAGGTACGGCGGGCCCCCTCCAGGCTGGGAAGGCCCTCCCCCAGAGAGGGGCAGTGAGATCTTCGTGGGGAAGCTGCCAAGAGACCTCTTCGAGGATGAGCTGGTCCCCCACTGTGAGAAAGTAAGAGACGTTTGCCAATTAAATCAGTTCCCGAAGGGTAACCTATTGTGTGTCCTTGTTTTCAAATAAATCCCCTTTCTATTCACAGTTTGGGAAGATCTTTGAGGTTCGGATGATGATGGACTTCAACGGCAATAACAGGGGATATGCCTTTGTTACCTTTTACACCAAAAATGAAGCCAAGACCGCCATGAAACAGCTCAATAACTATGAAATTAGGTAAGCAATCACATAACGCAATAGAAAGAAATTGAGAAAAAACCCTGTGTAGCCTAATGGTTAGCTAACACAAACATATGCATGAGTCATGGAAAACTGAATGCAAGACTACCAACACTCTCTTCATCACCAGACAGAAACGATATCGGATTTCATTGTGTGCATTGTTGACAAAAAAACGAAATCAATCTTTTCATTCAATCCAATGTGTTTATTCCCCAGGAACGGAAGGCTCCTAGGAGTGTGTGCCAGTGTGGACAACTGTCGTCTGTTTGTGGGGGGCATCCCCAAATCCAAGAAGAGAGAGGAGATCCTGATGGAGATGAAGAAAGTGACAGATGGGGTGTTGGAGGTGATTGTTTACCCCAGTGCTGCGGACAAGACCAAGAACAGGGGCTTCGCCTTTGTGGAGTACGACAGTCACCGCGCTGCAGCCATGGCCAGGAGGAAACTACTGCCAGGTACTAAACCTGTATTTTATACTATTAACAGACATAGTACTGGAGAATCACAGTCAGTCTAAAAACAACACCATTGTAACATAACCCTATGGAAGGACACAGTAAATCATACTGGATCATGATGACTTTGAGGCTTTGAAAACCAAAGTGTACTTTATGACTTTGGGTGGGCTAATTGGCTGAAGTGTTGAACTGATGTCCTTCCCTAGGGAGGATCCTGCTGTGGGGACACGCCATCGCCGTGGACTGGGCGGAGCCTGAAGTGGAAGTGGACGAGGACACCATGGCAACGGTGAAGATTCTCTACGTGAGGAACTTGATGCTGGCTACTACAGAAGAGACCATCGAGAAGGAGTTCAACAGTATCAAACCAGGCAGGTTAAATTACAGAACAGTCGAATAGTGGATCATGTTTGGGTTCAGCAACGAGTTTCCGTATGTGACTGTGTGTTATAATGGGATTGATAAGCGGATGTATGCTAATGATTCACAGGTACTGTGGAGAGAGTGAAGAAGATCAGAGACTATGCCTTTGTCCATTTCACTCAGAGAGAGGATGCGATAAGTGCCATGGACGCACTGAATGGAAAGGTATAATCTCTCTCACTGACCTACTCTCTCACCGGCCTATCTCTCTCACTGACCTACTCTCTCACCGGCCTATCTCTCTCACTGACCTACTCTCTCACCGGCCTATCTCTCTCACCGGCCTATCTCTCTCACTGACCTAGTCTCTCACCGGCCTATCTCTCTCACCGGCCTATCTCCCTCACTGACCTATCTCTCTCACCGGCCTATCTCTCTCACTGACCTAGTCTCTCACCGGCCTATCTCTCTCAAAGGCCTATCTCTCTCACTGACCTACTCTCTCACCGGCCTATCTCTCTCACCGGCCTATCTCTCTCACTGACCTAGTCTCTCACCGGCCTATCTCTCTCACCGGCCTATCTCTCTCACTGACCTATCTCTCTCACCGGCCTATCTCTCTCACTGACCTAGTCTCTCACCGGCCTATCTCTCTCAAAGGCCTATCTCTCTCACTGACCTACTCTCTCACCGGCCTATCTCTCTCACTGACCGAGTCTCTCACTGGCCTATCTCTCTCAAAGGCCTATCTCTCTCACTGACCTACTCTCTCACCGGCCTATCTCTCTCACCGGCCTATCTCTCTCACTGGCCTACTCTCTCACCGGCCTATCTCTCTCACCGGCCTATCTCTCTCACCGGCCTATCTCTCTCACCGGCCTATCTCTCTCACCGGCCTATCTCTCTCTTACCGGCCTATCTCTCTCACTGGTCTATCTCTCTCACCGGCCTATCTCTCTCACTGGCCTATCTCTCTCACTGGCCTATCCCAGGACATGTAATGTCATGATGACACATGTTTTATCTAAAGTGACTCCCAGTTAACACATATTCAACACATTGAGCTCATGTGGGGATCAAAGTCTCATCCCTACCAGGCTCCAGCCACTGAGCCATCAGAACCAAGCAATATCATACAACAATGCATGATCCAGCCACAACCCGCCTCTACACGGAATAGTTCCTAAATGTAAACTCCTCCCCTAGCTGGTGGATGGCTCTCCCGTGGAGGTGACCCTGGCCAAGCCGGTGGATAAGGACAGCTACGTGCGCTACACCCGGGGTACAGGTGGCCGAGGTGGGGCCCTGCTCCAGGGGGAGTACGCCTACACACTGGGCCAGGTGTGTGACCCCTCAGCAGCCTACCTGGGTGCCCCCGTGTTCTACGTCCCCCAGGCATATGCTGCTGTTCCTAATCAGTTCCGCTTCCCCATGGCCAAGGGGCTTGTGGGGGGCCGTGGCCTGGTGCGCACGCCTTCGGTCAGAGGTGGGTACCTTCTCTCTGCAGCTAATCAGTGAGACAGACACAGATAAATATGGACATGTATCTACCAATCTGTGTCTTTGAGTAGCTGATAGGATCAATGGTATCTGCTATAATCACTTGAGATATATCCAAATCCAATGCAAACCAGCCTCAATGGGTAGTTTCAAACATCAGCACTTCCCTGAAATATTCAACTGAAATTGCTTTGTTTGTTTGAATCACAGCAATACTTAATTCAGTCTGGAGCCAAATCCACATTTTGCAATTATATACTGTATGTTCTTTCATTACTGTCTATGTTTGATCTTCTAATAGAGATAACTTACCTATTTTCATGCATTGAGCACTATGAATAATGCTTTACTGTTTTATTTATAGTACTAAGAGATTTAGGATGTCTGACTGTCATTCAAAATTTGCTCTCCATGGCTGCATATTACAGTCTAGTATGACAAGTACGATCATTCAATCAAGTTGGATTTGGGGGGAAATGTAATCAAAATAACTCCACAGCTTTAAGCAGTGAAAATGAGAATCGCTGTATGACCCATGATCAGTCTTTACAAGGTCTTGATTGCCTCCCAGGTGATTTCTGGTGATTTGATTCGATTTAATGCCTTCTTGCATTCCTAGAAATTTACATGAATGTACCTGTAGGGGCAGCGGGCGTACGGGGGATGGGTGGTCGCGGATACCTCGCCTACGCAGGTTTAGGCCGAGGCTGTGCCACCTACCAGCTAAAGACAGACAAGCGCCCCGACGACAAGCTCTTTGACCTGCTGCCGGGCATGGAGCTCACGCCCATGAACCCTGTGAAGCCTCCCGGTATCAAACACACACCACAGGTACACACACACACACGTCCAGACCTGATGAGAACTGACAGGACAACAAACACACACACACTTAATTACTTAGTAGCCGTAAAGAAGGTATTCAGCATTCTGCTCACGCAATAATTGAAATGTTGCAGAAAAACATATCTATTGAATCACATGTTTTCTTCCAGATCTTGGAGGATGTGTGTCAGAAGAACAACTGGGGGCAGCCAGTTTATCAGCTTCACTCTGCCATCGGACCTGATCAAAGCCAACTGTTCCTCTACAAAGTCACCATTCCGGCTCTGGCCACCCAATATCCTAATGTGTGAGAAACACAGCCACATCTAATATGTTTCAGTAGTGGCTTCCTATATCAAAGGATCCCCTTGAATAATATAACCCTGTAACCTTCTCCTCTAGCATTTCAATCATTTAGCAGACACTCTTATCCAGAGTGACTTACAGGAGCAATTAGGGTGAAGTGCTCTGCTCAAGGGCACACCGACAGATTTTCACCGACTTGGCTTGGGGATTCAAACCAGCAACTTTCGGTTACTGGCACCAACGCTCTTAACCGCTAGGCTAACTGCCAAGGATACCCTCTAACCTTCTCTTCCTTCCTTCTTTCCTTCCTCCAGGCATCCGTTCACCCCAGCCAAGTTGTGTACATCTGTGGATGAGGCCAAGGTTCATGCTGCGGAGCATGCCCTGCAGACCCTGGGTCTGCAGACAGAGTGCGCTGAGGCCTCCGCTGCAGCTGTAGCCGTTGCTGCATTCCAAGGTATGTTGTGAATGTCCGTGAGACTAACTATCATACCACCCTTTCTCTAGAGTAGGTTGCCTAGAACCACATAATGGTTACAAATAATGGTTACACTACAAAATACTAACCAAACCAAAGGCAGTTCATGAATTACATACAGTGGGGAAAAAAGTATTTAGTCAGCCACCAATTGTGCAAGTTCTCCCACTTAAAAAGATGAGAGAGGCCTGTAATTTTCATCATAGGTACACGTCAACTATGACAGACAAACTGAGAATTTTTTTTCCAGAAAATCACATTGTAGGATTTTTAATTTATTTATTTGCAATTTATGGTGGAAAATAAGTATTTGGTCACCTACAAACAAGCAAGATTTCTGGCTCTCACAGACCTGTAACTTCTTCTTTAAGAGGCTCCTCTGTCCTCCACTCGTTACGTGTATTAATGGCACCTGTTTGAACTTGTTATCAGTATAAAAGACACCTGTCCACAACCTCAAACAGTCACACTCCAAACTCCACTATGGCCAAGGCCACAGAGCTGTCAAAGGACACCAGAAACAAAATTGTAGACCTGCACCAGGCTGGGAAGACTGAATCTGCAATAGGTAAGCAGCTTGGTTTGAAGAAATCAACTGTGGGAGCAATTATTAGGAAATGGAAGACATACAAGACCACTGATAATCTCCCTCGATCTGGGGCTCCATGCAAGATCTCACCCCGTGGGGTCAAAATGATCACAAGAACGGTGAGCAAAAATCCCAGAACCACACGGGGGGACCGAGTGAATGACCTGCAGAGAGCTGGGACCAAAGTAACAAAGCCTACCATCAGTAACACACTACGCCGCCAGGGTCTCAAATCCTGCAGTGCCAGACGTGTCCCCCTGCTTAAGCCAGTACATGTCCAGGCCCGTCTGAAGTTTGCTAGAGTGCATTTGGATGATCCAGAAGAGGATTGGGAGAATGTCATATGGTCAGATGAAACCAAAATATAACTTTTTGGTAAAAACTCAACTCGTCGTGTTTGGAGGACAAAGAATGCTGAATTGCATCCAAAGAACACCATACCTACTGTGAAGCATGGGGGTGGAAACATCATGCTTTGGGGCTGTTTTTCTGCAAAGGGACCAGGACGACTGATCCGTGTAAAGGAAAGAATGAATGGGGCCATGTATCGTGAGATTTTGAGTGAAAACCTCCTTCCATCAGCAAGGGCATTGAAGATGAAACGTGGCTGGTCTTTCAGCATGACAATGATCCCAAACACACCGCCTGGGCAACGAAGGAGTGGCTTCGTAAGAAGCATTTCAAGGTCCTGGAGTGGCCTAGCCAGTCTCCAGATCTCAACCCCATAGAAAATCTTTGGAGGGAGTTGAAAGTCCGTGTTGCCCAGCGACAGCCCCAAAACATCACTGCTCTAGAGTAGATCTGCATGGAGGAATGGGCCAAAATACCAGCAACAGTGTGTGAAAACCTTGTGAAGACTTACAGAAAACATTTGACCTGTGTCATTGCCAACAAAGGGTATATAACAAAGTATTGAGAAACTTTTGTTATTGACCAAATACTTATTTTCCACCATAATTTGCAAATACATTCATTAAAAATCCTTCAATGTGATTTTCTGGATTTTTTTTCTCATTTTGTCTGTTGACGTGTACCTATGATGAAAATTACAGGCCTCTCTCATCTTTTTAAGTGGGAGAACTTGCACAATTGGTGGCTGACTAAATACTTTTTTTCCCCACTGTATGCTGGCAAGTGCAAGTTTGTGATAGGTTCTAGAAAAAAAACGTGTTCAAACTGAACATCGTACAGACTCCACAATAACGGCAATAAATTAGATTGAACAATTGAAAGGCACTAATTTTATGGCTATCCAACCCATGTCCTGTCTCCTGATTTGCAGGTTACACAATAGCGAACACCTCAGCCTCAGTAGCTGCCTCCCAGCTCAAACAGGCCGTCTCCCTGGGCCAGGACATGGCAGCATACACTACCTACGAAGGCTATCCCGCCTTCGCCGTGGCAACCATTGGAGACGGTTATGGAGTGTTCTAGGGCCATCCTGGAACCTCATCTCATTCACCAGCATTCCTTGTTAGTATACTCATTTATCAGACTATATAGAACTACACTGAACAAAAATATAAACGCAACATGTAAAGTGTTGGTCCCATATTTCACGAGCGAAAATAAAAGATCCCAGAAATGTTCCATATGCACAAAAAGCTTATTTCCCTGTTAGTGAGCATTTCTCCTTTGCCAAAATAATCCATCCACCTGACAGGTGTGGCATATCAAGAAACAGCATGATCATTACACAGGTGCACCTTGTGCTGGGGACAATTTGCAGTTTTGTCATGAGAAACAATGCCACAGATGTCTCAAGTTTTGAGGGAGCGTGCAATTGGCATGCTGACAGCAGGAATGTCCACCAGAGCTGTTGCCAGATAATTGAATGTTAATTTCTCTACCATAAGCCACCTCCAACGTCGTTTTATAGAATTTGACAGTACGTCCAACCGGCCTCACAACCGCAGACCAAGTGTAACCACGCCAGCCCAGGACCTCCACATCCGGCTTCTTCACCTACAGGATCTTCTGAGACCAGCCACCTGGACAACTGATGAAACTGTGGGTTTGCACAACCAAAGAATTTCTGCACAAACTCTCAGAAACCGTCTCAGGGAAGTTCATCTGCGTGCTCGTAGTCCTCACCAGGGTCTTGACCTGACTGCAGTTCGGCGTCGTAGCCGACTTCAGTGGGCAAATGCTCACCTTCCATGGCCACTGGCACGCTGGAGAAGTGGGCTCTTCAGGGATGGGCAGATGGCAGAGAGTGTGCATGGTGTCGTGTGGGCGAGCGGTTCGCTGATGTCAACGTTGAGAACAGAGTGCCCCATGGTGGCAGTGGGGTTATGGTATGGGCAGGCATAAGCTACGGACAACGAACACAATTGCATTTTATCGATGGCAATTTGAGTTCCCGACAATATCCAGCAACTTCGCACAGCCATTGAAGAGGAGTGGGACAACATTCCACAGGCCACAATCAACAGCCTGATCAACTCTATGCTAAGGAGATGTGTCGCGCTGCATGCGGCAAATGGTGGTCACACCAGATACTGAGTAGTTTTCTGATCCACGCCCCTACCTTTAAAAAAAAAAGTATCTGTGACCAACCGATGCATATCTGTATTCACAGTCATGTGAAATCCACAGGTTAGGGCCTAATTAACCCATTGATTTCCTTATATGAACTATAACTCTGTAAAATCTTTTAAATTGCATTTATATTTTTGTTCAGTGTACGTAGTATCCATTGTGTGGTTTTCATTTGATTGTGTGGATCTATTTAGTTGTAGAGGAGGACCCTAATTGGATGTTGTAGAGTTAGCAAGTTGTCAGAGGTAGTTTTGATGGGTTCTTATGTATTTTATCTTTATTTTGTCTTTTTTTAAACTCATTGTCTTTTTTATGACACAGCTGCTGGTTCATAGTGATGGATTAGTGGTCTCCTTTGACCCAATAGTGTAGAAGTGTAAGTGTCCCTTTCAAATTTATTCAATTAGTCCTAAAAGTCTTCTTTGGATTTCCTTATAAATCATTGATAGAAATATAGTTTTCAAATGTCAGGGATACAATTTCTGCCTTTAGTTTCAAGGGTGACCTTTACTTTATACCTACAAGTCCCTTTTGATGTTGTTGCACGGTTGTACATTGTTAGACTAAAAACACTGGCGTGGTTCAGTCCCTTTTGATGGTGAGGGGTTTCTTTTGTGCTATTTGTGTCTCGGTATTTACAAATGCAAACACAGAATTTGTTTCCCTCTCTTTTCCGATGTTATAGTGTGCAGAAGATGAAATCCATCCATAAGCTGCTGTGAAACTGAACTGCCTATTTTAAGACGTTAAGGGTTTGTTGTCTATGGAAACGTGTCTGAGTCATGGAATATTTATTGTCAAAATGTCTGGTTTTACATTGGAATAATATGTTCGCTATGGACAATCCTCTTGGACAGAGATCGATGTCATTCTATGTTGCGTATTTTCCTTATTGCCTTACACCAAACCTAGGCCTGCGAACATGGACATAGGAAGTGTTAACACATTTATCAGCGTACAAAACGACACTCTGTTAAACATGAAAATGCCTAAGCAGTGACAGTATTAAAGTGTGTATAGCGCTTAGAACTTATTTTTATACCAGAAATCCAACAATATTTGTATAGTTATATTGTTTCGGGATATTTCAAATTCTTTGTGCCTCAATAATTTCAATAAAAATCATAAAGGGGTGAAATAAATACAAATCTGAAATGTAAGGAGAAATGGGAACACTTTTGTGAAACAACGTGTGGTGCTGCTTGGGTAATTCTAATGTGTCATGATCGGTAATTGCCTGCGATAAATAAACCAATTGCATTTTCAGACTTGCTTTCTTCACTTTATTACACATTTTTTCCTTCTACATAAAACTAAGAAGTGTGCCACAATATTTAAATTATTGCATTCTATTCAAAATAAGCACTGGACATAATTACATTCTAAAAACATGTGAATAAACTGATCATAAACAAATCATTTTAATTTCCATGGGAGATGAGATATGGAAGGCCACTAAATGGGGCGGCAGGTAGAGTAGTGGTTAAGAGCGTTGTGCCAGTAACCGAAAGGTCGCTGGTTCTAATCCCCGAGCCGACTAGGTGAAAAATCTGTCGATGTGCCCTTGAGCAAGGCACTTAACCCTAATTGCTCCTGTAAGTCGCTCTGGATAAGAGCGTCTGCTAAATGACGTAAATGTAAAGCTGCCCTACATTCAACATATTTCCCCTATTGAGCACAGCCCCCATTTGGCACAATGGCATGTTGCCCGTCAACACAAAGGCTGGTTGCGTATTGAAGGGCCGTTCTTGTTTAGTGCTTCAATACAGTACATACATTGAACTGCATTGAAATAGAGAACATACATTTTTCATCAAATTTGGGCCACTAGAAGTGTACACTATAATGTGCCCTATTTAGTCTTAATCAATGACCAGCAGTTAGTAATAATATGTTATTTTGGAGACTCTGAAGACTTCTGACACACCCTCAAACACTGGGATCACATCCCCTTCCTGTGTTTGTAGTATCCAAAGTGTCTGTTCCGGTAGGAGACAGTCTGGGCTGACAGCGGGATGTGCCACTCAATCGTAACGTTGCTCTCCGCTCCATTCTTTACCCAGTGAAACCTATTGGGAGAGGAGAGGAGACGAGACGAGGAGAGAAGAGAAGAGAAAAGACAAGAAAAAAAGACAAGAACACTGGAGACATGAGGGCTCAGGTTCACCCTCTATTCCCCCCACCTCTACCTCTGATGTCATCAGGCTGATGTTGACTGAGCTTATCAAAGAGACTGTGACCTCGTTACTGTCACACAGAGAGACATCAGGCTCTTGGCACAGGAGAGTTCTGGTCTTTAGAACATGCTCATCATGACCACACCATGGAGGTTAACAGTAGACCAACGCTGACCTCATTGGATGGGGTTAAATCTAACCCTATTTGGGGAAAACAAGCTCTAAAAACCAACCATCTGGCCCAACCACTGCTCCTCTCAAAAATACTTATTATGCTTGCAATTAATTAAGATCCCCCCCCCCCCCCACCCCATAGTCAGACCTCTCCCAGAAATTATTGCTTGAGCATTTTTGACGATTTTAATTGAAAACAATCACAGTAAAGTATTTAATTAATTGTTACCCAGAAATGATTTAATGTTGAGATAGAAACGGCTGCATTGGACCTTTAAACTGTGTGGTGGTAATCACCTATAAAACACTGACAACTCTATCAATGAGAGGACCTTGAGAAATAAGGACTGATGTGAATGACGCTAAATAATCCAAATAATCAAACCGACCAGATAGAGTTCCAGACGCCGCTAATTATTTATTTATTCATTTACAGCGGCCATTAAAAGGATATCAAGTCCTACTCAAATGGATTGTGTCTGATATACAGTGCGTATGAAATGAGCAAGTTGAATGAACAGGAAGTACTCTACCTTGTCTCCCAAGATGCATCTGTGTGAACAACATCCCAGTTTACTGTGCAGCATATGCTCCTCACCTCTCCAATGGCGTCTAAACTTCTGGATATATGCAGAGATGGTGGATCTGCAAGAAATAACACTAATAAGTGACTGTCAGCCATTTTGCGATCAGATCAGGAGCAGCAATCTGATACCACTCAAAATCACTTATTCTCTCGCACCTGGTACTCCTTATATGTGGTGGTGTAATGAGTAGATGCTACACAGGCCAGTGACGACCACCTCTGCATTATTGAATGTTCCCATTCCAGTTCCTGATCAACAAACAAAGGTCATCTGTATAACACATTCAAATGTAATACCAAAAAAATTTTAACAGAATATTTGCCTTAATGAGTGGGTGTGCATGTGTGTGTGTGTATGTGTGATATTTGATTCTCACGTGCTTGATGGCCTCTCTTGTCCTCCCTGGCATGGTGCTGTAACACACAAGTAAAGTAAACAGAATTCAACCAACATGTCCTTCAACACGTCAGCTAAACAAACACTGCGGCCTGTCTGTTCTCTTCAAAACAACATTGATTTTCATTGTACTTTCATGTGCGCCTTAACGCTTGACCAGCGACAACAGAATCACAACCTGTCCCATCTCAAGTCCAACTCTAACGCATCTGTTCCCTAATCACATTTTCCATGACAGCTTTGGAAGGAAAATCGAATTAGGGTTTATTAGAGTCAACCACTCACACACGCACACACGTTCACACTGTAGTGGAAACTCACATAATTTCTCCAGGGATAGTCACAATGGCCACAGGTCCTGTGGTGATCATCTGGACGTCCACAATGTTTGGGTGACAGGGGAGGGGCCAGGTCATCTAGGCCAGAGAGAACGGCATGGTCACGGTCACATCTCCCCACTGCTGGTGACATCATGTGCAGTACACTGACATAGCCCTAGCTATGGAAACACAATTTCCCTAGGGTAACACCACAGTTTAATCCCATGGAAAGTCTCAGGCCGCACTGGGGCTGCAATGGAAAAAGGCTGAAAAAGAACAGTGCTCACCACTCTGAAGAGAATAGGTTTGGGGTGGTGGCAGTCCTGTGTTTCATTGGCGGGAACTCCAAGCAGTGTATCTCTAATACCATGCCAAAACGGGCCACCCTCAACAGCCCCTGTTTCAGAACAATTCAGTACATTGGTTCCAGGCCATCTATAAATCACTGCTAGGCAAATCCCCACTTTATCTTAGCTCATTGGTCACCATAGCAACACCCACTCGTAGTATGCGCTCCAGCAGGTACATCTCACTGGTCATCCCTAAAGCCAACACCTCCTTTGGCCGCCATTCCTTCCAGTTCTCTGCTGCCAATGACTGGAACGAATTTCAAAAATGTCTGAAGCTGGAGACTCTTATCTCCCTCACTAACTTTAAGCATCAGTTGTCAGAGCACCTTACCGATCACTGCACCTGTACACAGCCCATCTGAAATTAGCCCACCCAACTACCTCATCCCCATATTGTTATTTATTTTGCTCATTTGCACCCCAGTATCTCTATTTGCACATCATCTCTTGCACATCTATCATTCCAGTGTTAATACTAATTGTAATTATTTTGCACTATAGCCTATTTATTGCCTTACCTCCATAACTTGCTACATTTGCACACACTGTATATATAGTTTCTGTTGTATTTTTGACTTTATGTTTTGTTTTACTCCATATGTAACTCTGTGTTGTTGTTTTTATCGCACTGCTTTGCTTTATCTTGGCCAGGTCACAGTTGTAAATGAGAACTTATTCTCAACTGGCTTACCTGGTGAAATAAAATAAAAAATAAAAAATGGAAGATTGGTTATCTACATGACAATTATCTAAATACAGTACAATGAAAAGGAGAGAAGGGTTGCTAACCTTGTGTGAAATTGAGGTTCGCCTCCTCCGTTTGTAGTCGCTGCGGTGAAGCTGTGGCACAGAGCTGGTTAACAGGTCCTGCTTGGTCAGAATCACAAAATCACAGAATCACACACGTCCTGACTGGCCTTACCATACAGATCCTGTAGGGGGCAGACACAGCAATACAGCAGTCATAAAACAATGGTAGGTAGATGTGGATGACCGACTCAGCGTATCTCTTGATGGTAAAGATAAACATCTGTCCATGTAACTGGTTTCACAGGTAAGATTTCTTACCTTTGCACTTTTGTAAATGTTCTCTCTTATGATCCAGGTGTTGTCGAACATGTCAGATCCGGCTGGATCAAACTGGACCCAGAGCAACACACATTTTTCCTGGAAAACATTTACATTTTAGTCATATAGCAGACGCTCTTATCCAGAGCGAGTTACAGTTAGTGAGTGCATACATTTTCATACTGGCCCCCCGTGGGAAACGAACCCACAACCCTGGCGTTGCAAGCGCCATGCTCTACCAACTGAGCTACAGGGGACTACAAAACATCACACGAGAGGTAGTTCACACAGGTTGGTGCAGGCAGTGCTTTTTTGCTATGCATTCTATGCTATAACGTACACTTTGAATTTGTATAGGAGTCTGCTACAGTATTACATGTACTCCTATTGTTTTGTGTCTGCCTTACACACCCCTCCGATAGGACAGGAGCTGTTGCCGTAATCACAGGGGAGTCCAGTGTTGGCACAGAAGGGCCTTCTGGTTTCTGGGCTGGCGTCTCCCAGGTTAGAGCAAAGGCTGCCAAATACGGCCCCTGGAACAAGACACAGTGTCACACAAACGGCCCCTGGAATAAGCCTTTTGGACGGATGCCCTGAGGAGATGCAGTTGGGCAGGGTCGAAGGTGGTGATGGGCGGTCAAATGTCCCAATCAGAGGCCACTGGATGTGGCATGTAATTGGAGGGCTCCAGAAGTGCAAACAGAGTAGCCTATAAACAATGGGGACCCATCCCCCGCCTCTGGGAGTCAGGCAGAGTTGGGGGAAGGTAGGCTACTTGTTTCAAGAGTTAGAGAGGGCTATGAGTTAGTTGTCAGGAGAGGGACTGTAAGGGTTTTCTACAGTGTCACACATACAAATTAAGTAAGGCATCCTTAATATATGTAGTATATATTTCGTACAGTATATTTCTTTATTTTTTTCATGTTCCATGAAAAAGTTTCCAACATAATTTCATTCATCAGTATTTGAAATGTTCCCAACTCTAATGCCTTCATACCCCAATTTAGCTTATCGAAGCCAAGTTTTGCATAGGTAAGCGTCTTAATTGTCTTGGTTAACATAAGAAAGAAATCAAAGCTCAGCTCTCAAGTGACTGTGGCAGAGCAAGGTTTAATCAACTGTAACTGTGGCAGAGCAAGATTTAGTCAAATTGCATTAGAGAGAACTGCATTAACATGATTTAATTAAATACGTTT